GTTTATTTATTGACCTCCCATAGCTGGACGCGTTGCTGTGTAATAGGAAACCCTCGTGTCCTTTCCCGTTCCGAAATTACAAGTGCAATATTTGTGTGTGTCACGGCGGAGTTCTCCGGTGGAGTGAATGCCTTTTTTTTTTTTTCTTTTCTTTTATTTTTATTTTTTCCAAGTGCGTACAACATTTTCTAAGTTAGTGGGTTTTGTCTGACGAAGCGCGTTCCCTGGCAGCGGGCCGCTGGGGGAGCCTGGGTGTATATATCCTGCCCTGACGACGGAGGGTTTGGTGATGGAGAAAAGCAGCTCCGTGAATCAGACGCTCTCCTTACTCTGGATAACAATGAGAAGCGGGGATCGTTGCTGAACCTGGCAGAGCTGGACGGACCGCCTGCCTCCAGGCGCCCAGTTTACAGTGCGAAGCATCTCTGCAGCTAGCAAAAATACATTGTCATGGTCATAGGTAAATAAAAGGAGAATATAATTTCTTGTAGCTGCCTTTTCTTCGTGCCATGTTTGTCAGTGTTGGCGGAGCCGGGTGTCCCCTGCTTCACCAAGAAGCGTAAAATCCTGTTATTGCATGGCTAAAGATGGGAAAAGCTGGTTCTGCGGATTTCTGAGCTGTTTTTTCTCTGATGGAGCAGCTGCCAGATGCTCCCGAGGCCAGGCCAGGCCTGGCTGGAACACGGGAAAGTTTTTCCCCAAACCGTTCCCGGGGATAGCATTTGCTGTTTAAACAGGGCAGGGCATGAGCCTCGGAACGTGGAGATGCCCAGAAATATCAGTGACCTAGTGTAGCTCCGGGTCCCCCTGGGGACGCACCAAAAGTAGCAACAGAAAGCCCAGCGGTGCTATTTCAGGTCCCGGCTGCGCGGTTTGGCAGGGCTGCTCCTGCCCAGCCTTTTCCACGGCTCTGGTGTGCGATGGGCACGTTTTGAACATGGTGCGTTCAGTAGCTGAAATGTCTTTTGACGTTTCGTTTTGGCCACTTGCTTGTGGTCGCCCTCGGATGGCTCCGAGATGTGGCGTCACGGGAACGTGCCAGGCAGTGGAGCGGCGATGCCCGAGGATTCAGGTGGTTGTGGCTGCCCCGGCAATCCCACCTGGGCACGGCTCTCCTCGGCAGATAGGATCTCTTCTGGGGAGCTCTCGGTGTTTTGCTCTTTGAACAACCAGCGGGTGACAGCCAGGTGGGGAAGCTGAGGCAGAGCTGAGGGACCCCCCCAGGGCTTGGCTGGAGGCAGCGGGGTTGGTGGGACGCCTCTGTGGCTCTCCTGGGGGTACTTCTGGCCCATGGGCTGGTGTCCCAGCTGTGACCCCAGAGCTGCTGGGGCCTGGGGGGTTGGTGCAGCCTCCCCACGAGCGCGGTCATGGTCACGCCAGCTGCTGCTCGAACCCAGACCCTCCTCCTACTGTTGGTGAGAGCCTTCGTCTCCTCTCCTTCCCAGCCGGGAGGGTTTCCCTTCACATCTGGCCTCGACACAGATGGTCTTGCCCTTTCCTCCCTCTCTCCAGCACCCACATATTCTTGACCTCTCCTCACTCGGTTGCAGGCCATTGAGAAACTGTTATTGTGGGGTCACTGTGTTGGCCTCTCGCTTCTTCGTGTCCCAGGGACAGTTTGCAGGGGGACTCGGCTCAGGAGGCTTTGTGGGTACGGGCAGCTCGGTACCTGCTGGTACCTTCTCTCTACCCTGAATGCTGGGTCCATCAAACCTTGCTGTGGCTCTTGGTGATGCCCGGGAGCACCTGTAACCACACTTTGCTTAAAGCCTAGAACCTGCTTTCCGTGCGCGAATTGTCCGAGCCCACCTGGCAGGGCAGGCAGTGAGGGCTGGAGCCGCCGTGGGACATGTGGTGTGGGAATCAAGTGCTCAGCTTTGAATAAACACCACCGACCTGCCTGCTGGCAGTCACAGAGCGATAGAATCACAGAATGGTTTGGGTTGGAAAGGACCTTAGAGATTGTCTCGTTCCAAGCCCTGCCAGAGGCAGGGACACCTCCCACCAGACCAGGTTGCTCAAAGCCCCGTCTAGCCTGGCCTGGGACAAATCGAGGAATGAGGCTTCCACAGCTTCTCTGGGCAACCTGGACAGAGGCACTGGAGAAATGGGGAGCTGGGGTGACTCCCTGGAGAAAATGGAAATAAGCCTGCGGGAGTGACAGACCTTTGGCCATCGCTGTGACAGAATTTATTGCCATCCCGCCGGGTTGGCGTGAGTCACCGCAAACACCATCTCCACATGTTTGGGAGACGCTTGGTTTCTAGGAGGTGCTGGGCTGGGGTGGGAGGTGGAAATGCCGGGTGCTCGTCCTGTCCTTTCCCAGCATGGCCAGTGCCCGATGGAGCAGGACAGGTGTCATCATGGGTCCTGCGGTGACACCGAAGCCACAGCTTTGTCCCCTCCATGCTGCATGCTGCAGGAGAGGAGCCGTGCCATCTTCTCCAAGGCTTTGTGCCTCAAGAGTGAAGGATGTGAGAAACTTGGAGCATCTGGATGGGAACTGGATGAGGGGCCGTCAGCTCATGGAAGGGAGTTGTTCTGGGGTAACGTTGGTCAGGGTGGAGACAGAGCCCCACTGCCTGGAGCTGCTCCTTTTGCAGGGGAGGATTAGAGGACGAGGAGCTGCTGAGGCTGTTGTGGGGGCACCGAGCTTCCAACACAAGCAGAAGGGAGACAGAATCTTCAAATCAATCAAAGAATTGTAGATTACAGGGTTGGGAGCGACCTCAAGGATCATCTAGTCCTTAAATGTCCTTATTTAAATGTCCCCAGAAATGTCCTTCTTTAACACAAAATGTGATGTCCAGGATAAAGTCCAATCAGGCCAGGAGGGATGTGAAGAAATCATTGAGCTGTCGATGCCAATGCAACGAGCCTGAGCAATGGAAACAGGAATTGGGCATTCCCGATTCCTAACCTGAGGCACGGCCTCAAACCAGCCCCGGGTCCGACAGCCAGAGGGATGCTCCCACGGCAGCAACGCTGAAATCACGGCGGGTCACCTGGTTGGGGATGGCCCTGGAGAGGGAAAAGTGGCCTTTTGCAGAGGAAAAACCACCAGCTGCACCCAAGCCACCACCACTGAAGCTGTGGAGGTGTTGGGTGGCACCGGCTGGGGACGGCAGGCCGCCGGCCTCAGCCTCATCGCTGGGCTGCTGACATCGCTGCTGCCGCTCTGCACAGCGGCGATCTCCCAGTGTGGAGACCGGTGCCTTCCGAAGTGAGGAGGATGCTGTAGCGGACCTTATCTCAGCAGATAACCAGGATTTATCTCGGGGCTAAAAATTAGTGGTTGCTCAGTTGCAAAGAAGTCACAACTCAGCTCTGTTTGTCGTGTGCAAACAGAGTAAAGTCCACCAAGGCGCAGGTGATCTCGGTTCATCTGGCGGGACGAGCTGAAGGCAGCCAAGGAGGCAACGCACCCCAGGGAAAGCACTTAAATGGGAATAATCACCAGAAAGCGCCAACTGCTTTGTTAGGTTCAAAAAATGCTGTGACCCCACAGGTGAAAAAGGTTAAGGCTGGTGGGAAAAACATCTGAAGGTCTTGAGTTTAACACCCCTCCTCAGGGATGAGAAGGTTGGGATGAACCCAAAGGACTTGGCAAATGAGTCTTGGCTGTCCCAGATCATGGGACTTGACCCTTGGAGTGTCCCTCAGCACAGGATTTCATCAGCTTCCTCATGTAGCAGCAGCCGGAGACAAGTGCTGCGGTCACCTGGGATTTACAAAAGCAAATGAAGTTCCTGAAAGAGCAGCTCCAGGAGAAGAGAGTTCAAGCTGCGGAGCATCTCTTGGATGAAGATTTGTTGGGAGAAGCTGAAGAGCAGCGTGGGCATCCCGCGTGGGGTCGTGCCCGCGAGCCAGCCGTGGTCGGCACTGCTCCTCGCCGCCGGCACACGAGCATCCGCAGCGTCCGCCCGGGGGAGTGTGGCTCCCCACAGCAAGCAGCGCTCGGGTTACAAGAGGGGCCTCATTTCAGAGCTGGCTAGGAGCCGTGAACATAAAGCCTTTCTCATTTTTCTGCAAAAATAATAACTTTGCCTATTTTACAGGTGTCCACCGTGCCCCGAGACGCTCTAGCAATGCACGGCCTTTATCAGGATTTTCCAAGGCGGCCGTCCTGCAGTATAAATTTATCCAAATAAACATAACTTTCTCCTGAGCGAAATAATTCCTTGGACCCCTGATTAGACAAATATCCTCAGAATAGCAACAAGGCTACTTCATAGCCATAGACTAAACATAGCTCAACAGTTAGATACTGAAACTGCAGACACAAGAATTGCCCTGCCCCGTGGAAACAGCTGACTCACGAGTCGCTTAAACCCTGCGCCGAAAGTTGTTGAGGCTTATCAGGGGCACGGCGAAATCTTATTTGGGTAGCTGAGATGCCCAGAAG